ATATTGTGTGATGGATCATTAAGTGAATAGTGCCCATCACATGCACTAAAATATTGTGTGATGGATCATTAAGTGAACAGTGCCCATCACGTGCACTAAAATCATAGAAACACAGAATGCTTAAGGTTGGAAGGGACCTCTAGAGATCATCTAGTCCAACCCCCCTGCACACGCAGGGACACCTAAAGCACGTGGCACAGGACTGCGTCCAAGTGGGTTTGGAAGATCTCCAGAGAAGGAGACTCCACAACCTCTCTGGGCAGCCTGTCCCAGTGCTCTGTCACCCTCACCGTAAATAAGTTGTTCTTCATATTGAGATGAATCCCCGTGTGTTTCAGTTTGATCCCTTGTTCACTGAGAAGGGTTCAGACCTATTGTCTTTACATTCCCCCCCTCAGGTATTTGTACATATTGATAAGATCCCCTCTCAATCTTCTCCAGTCTAAATCTATTATATAATTTTCTTGTTCCTTTCTATAGGAGCAAACTGGAAAAAGAAAACAAAACAAACATATGCTATCACACAGCATACAAAGGCCTCCTGCACAGGACTCTGCACTAGCAGGTTCCTTTACATCCATCACATGCCGTTTAACAAAACAACTCTGGGATGGGGACACACACTCTAACTGATCTTATGCAGATCAGTCCTACAGAGAGCACCTGTGCAATGATTCCTCAGACAACTGCTGACAGCAGAGAGGTGGAGAGACTGGGAAATCTCTTGCTTGTAACAGGATTTTCTTGTCCTGACCTGTCCTGCTTGTCTTCTCCATCCCTGATTCTTCATCCCATCACCGCTAGCTCACTTATCCACTCCTCCAACTACTCATTCGCTCATTCAATCTCTCTGCTTAACTAGTGTTTGCTGCACAGCTTCACATTCGTCCTCACCAGAAAGTGTTTCTCACTCCCAGTTGAAAATGTGTTGAATATTCTCAACTTCCCCATGCAGCATTGCCCAGAAATGGGTTGGAGCAGAGGGAATGTGGATGGAATTCAGTTGACCTCTGTTTATAGACCAGATTAATTTGGAAGAAGGAATTTTCCTGAGAAAGTCAAAGGACACTCTTGACAAAAAGGTCTACTGATCTTCCCTCCTAAGCCAAATTCATATTCCTTCTACTATTGTAGGATTTTTTTCCAAGAAAAGATTGTGAAATGTTCTGATGCAAACAAAACATATTTTCTCTAGCTTCAATCTTTACAATGGTTGAACTATCTGGGGTGAAATCACATATTCCACTTCATCTACTTTAAAACAGCAAGAATCTTGTAGCAAATGCCTAGTATAAGAAACATGAGTCCAACCTGGCAGATAAAATTATAAGCTAATTAAAACTACATTTTAAAAGGGGAATTTCAGTAACAGGC